CTCGATTTTTCCAAATGTTAAATTATCAAAAGTTTGTTTTCAGTTTTTAAGCTACACGAAATTTATATGCGGTTTTAAAAAAAAGAAAAAAAAAATATGTCCTGTCTACACTTTCACGCCTTCAAGCTAATTTTTGGAAATCCATGTAATCGATGCCGATTTGCTTCAGCCAGCTTAACTATCTGGAAAAAATATTATTTAGGGCATACTGAGGCGTACCGCAAAGTAAGGAAGATGGATTTATCTTTTGTAAAAATACAGAGATATCAAGAAAAATACTCTAGTTTATTTAAAACCAATTTCGAAATCATAAGGAACAACTGAAGAGCTGAAAACTTTTAAGAATACACAAAAGAACACACATCATCCGACCTTAAAATACATACACGATAACACTGTTATCTGAAGGTTTTAAGTAAAGCATCTGATAGTGATTTTCTGATCCTTAAATTTAAATTTCAACCTTAAGTTTTCCTTCTATTAGATCATGTCTATAACCAGTAAGACTTACTTAGATGTACTTGTCTAAAAACTCGTATAATTAAACTTTTTATAAGGTAACCATATACCTGGAAAATTCAGAATTAAGTCCAATAATCTCAACCTATTTGTACTTCCTCAACTCTACAAATATTTGTATCTATATAGAACGTTGATCTTGACAGTGAATGTCGAACGCTAATAGCAAAACTTCAGTCGAAAAAAATCTCCAAGGATAAACTTTTCTGTGAACCATAGGATATTTTAAAATGTTCCAAAGCCGAACTTGGTTTACCTGTTTATAACTTTTACATTACACATGATACGTATGTATTTATGTGCATACATATGTACATATAAATTTATTTAGAGAATTGTATTCCATTTTAAACTACTTTACTAACTTTCCTTCCTACCATTTCTTTTCTTTACAGTCACAGAAAAAGAAATTCGACAATGGTGAGTACACATGTATTGGATTTGAATAAGTAGCATAGGATTATTAAATATTTAATCAGACTAAAAAGCATCTTAACAAAAGAAATGAAGTTAGCAACGAAAATAAGAGGACAATGATGGGCAAATATCTTCAACTAAAACTGTTAGCTCTCTTCTTGAATATATTTGCATTAAAATCCTTTGAAAGTTACCCAAAAAAGGAACAGCGAAACATCGCGACTCAGCAACAAGCACTAACTTACCGACTTAATAACCTTACACATTCTACTTGCATTTTTCTTAAATTTCTAAGCATGCCACTGACATTAGGCAACCGCATTACTGTTGATATAGGCCACAATTCTTCGTTTGTATGTATGTATGTTTTGTAGCAGCCAAAGAAACAGCAAGCAAAAATATCGCAAAGCCACACAAAATGTAAGCTGCCAGCTAAGCTTCCTACTGGAATCGGTTGCTTCTCCCACAACTTAAAAGCTTATTTTGGAATTGAATTAGTGCACCAAAAGCAGAGAATTTAATTCAATTGAAGCGCATTCTTGTAAAGTAAGGCATCCTAAAAGCAGTAAGATACAATTTTTTTTAAATGAGAGTTGACGGCAAATTTACAACGCCATTCCACGCAGATGTTGGCGCTTAAAGCAAAGCGAACAGGTGGCTTAGTCATAAGTAGCAGATTACATGGCTTGCCACGCACACTACCTCAAGCTATTCCTTTTTCTGCTATCACAAATATTTAGTATCTATTTGCACAAGTATGAATTTGAAGTTGTACATTAATTTATCTGTAGATACAAAAGTATGAATACAGCTAAGCGCACAAATTGTACCCAAAATTATTCGAAATGGAATTTTAATTAGTTTGAAAATGTATTTTGTGTAGATTAATGTAGATTAAATGAATTTTAATTGCCCCCGCCTCGCTGATGGACCCATTTGCGGTGCTGATGGCACACAAAGAATATTCCAAGACATGGCAAGTTAAGCAAATTTTCCGCGGATTTGTAAATTACCAAGCTTAAGAGCCATTGCTCAACAATGAAGCACCCAACCAGAGTGTACGGCAATGAGTTGCTTGAAACTTAATAGACGGGACGCAAATTACAAAATGACTAGCTGGAAATTTTATGGAGATTTTAGAATGGCATTAGCTCTAAGTTTGTTATATGTGTATGCAAAACAAATTAAAGCATTTTTACATTTTCATTCGTTACATTTCGATTTTCATTCGCTACAAAACCCTGTGGTAGATGACAATAACTCTATTCCTTTGAAGCAGTGTGCATGAGTCCTACTGACACTGCTCTAAGTCATGGAATAGAGTAGGGATAATGTTCATTCCAGAACTTAGAAGAAGGAACTAGTACGAAGCTAAACCATTGAAGTCGATAAGTCTGATTCACCTTATGCCGAGAACATTATCGGCAATGAAATAAGATTAAAAAGTCCAGTTCAGACCAGTCCGAATGACTGCATTTAGTGTGGGAAGGTCTACGAAAACTGTCCGTGTTGTCTACGGAGATACAAGGGTATCTATTTGTGTTTTCCTCTACATTGAGAAACCTGCGATAATACTTCTGATACAGGCTTATGTCGCGCATTAGAGAAACGGAATGTGCGAATAGCTTACCTAATTCAAACAAGATTTACTCGGCTTCAGCATTTAAGACAACTTGGTACAGTTTCAAATAACAAAGCCTAGAATTAGATGTAGTATTTCTTCAAGTCTTACCTAACAAAGGCATACGCTGCTTGGGATATGCAGGTGCCTAATTAATAGTTGCCAGAGAAAATTTTAAAAGCAGCCTCTGCAATTTAGCTCAAAGAAATTTTAAAAAAATGGTATGCCAAAGTAATAGAAAAGCTTTTCCAGCTGCATAGGCATTAATGATATTCAAATTGCATGTCTGAGGGGTGTAAGCCACAGATAAAGAGATCTATGGACGATGGCTTGGGAATCACGAAGTAATTTAGCCACGGTGAGGCAGTCTCTAATCAAACTTCAACGTCTAAATACTTATATTTAAATATATAACCTGAGCATGTCTCGCGACGGCTATTATGAACAAAGTAGTTGTTTCGAGAAGAGGAAATTCAAAATATAGCTTGCAGCAACGCAACCTTGAATGCCTCTCTTATGGAGGCTCATACCCAGGCGAGCATTCTGCAGTGGTACATTGACTGCCTAATTCCGAGCACTTTTTTAGCGGAGTTTTACATATTTACTCTACGAACCAAGGTTAACTTAAATAGAAACTACCTTTATCAGAGCCTTCTTATACTTAGCAACAGGCCATCTTAGATTTTGAGACTAACTCCTCTCCATTCATTGAGTGATTTAAAAAAATTAACGCCATTTCCAAACCCAATGATATCCGAAAATTTTACATACCAGGGTACAACGATATAAAGGGGAACGAGGTAGCAGGCGGCTTTTAATTGTTCTTACTTACAAAATTTAACTTTTTGTCTTTGGTATTTGATAAAGAAAACCTTAGCTCGAATAACGGTGTCCTCAATCTTTGTAAAAAAAAAACGAGAGACAACTGCTTAGAAGGTTTTCGGATTCGTTGTCTGTGATTGAAATATTGGAATTGATTTTTTGTTCCATTTTTTAACAATTTTCTAACAAACATATTTAAATTAAAATTATTTAGGAAATTCACAAAAAAATAGAAAATTATGAAAAATTAAATAATTTTAATATCTACGACTATATAAAGCCCGAAAAATTGTTTAGTGCTTCTAACATAACCTTAAATGTTTTCCTTAACAATTACATTTCAAAAAGGTTTTAAAATATTGGCCGTATTAGACCGCGATTAGACACCAAAAATATGTAAAATGAAGAGTTTTGAGTTAAAATCATTAAATTCATGTTGCGATTTTTTCCGATTTCTGAGAAAATTGATTTTATTGTATTGACACAGTCAGAAGTGAAGATACTAGCTCAATGAAAAGTGAAAGCAATATCATTTGCAAATTTTTTTTTGTACAATTTAATTAATAGTTTTTACGACAAAGTGGCATTTTTTTCATTAATAGAAATATTAAAAAATCTGCACTCAAACTCTTCTAATAAAACCACAAATTAAAAAGTTACCCATTATACCCCTCGATCATCAAGGGTTAAATTTTTTTTTGCAAAATATGTGCAAAAACATAAAAAAATCGTGCCATAATTTTTATTTGTCAAAAGTTGGTCATATTTCCCATAGTGCACTGAATAGAATGTTGCAATAAAACAATTAGTTGACGTGCTTTGCTAAACTCGACCAAAATCGCTTAGGCGGTTAAGGAGCCAAAGAAGGAGAAGAAGTAACAATGATTTAATCGCGCTTAGAAAATTTAACTTCTAATCACAAAGAGATTTTGCATCGGATTTTTCATTTCTTTGAACTTTTCATGCCCACCTACACAAGTTTAGGTGGGAAGGACTTTTTTCAAAAGGAAGTTTGGCTTCACTTTACACAAATAAAGAGGATATCTAAGCTCTAGGAGATCGAATCTAATACAAAGCTTATCAGGATGGCAGGTCTTTGGCTATTTAGGAGCCAACCTATAGCTGGATTTGTAATCTTGCTAGAAAAAGATACCTATGTGGTATACAATTGTATATATGTACGTATGTACTATCTCTAATTTACTTTATTTTTTTTTCTTCACACAGGCACAAAGGTTTTCTCAAAGACTGTCCGAATGGTCTACTGACGGAGCAAGTAAGTAAATGAATGTAATTTATAAACATACTCGTCTCTTAATTTTTAATACCTCTATAAAAGAGAACATAAATTTTTTGTTCGAACATTTTCACACATATTCAATACACATACATACAATGATTCCAATCAAAATAATTTTACGTAATAGTTTAGCTGAAATATTCGTTGGCTGATTTAAAACAAAAGTACTGCAAATAAACCTAAACGGTTGCTTCATAGTGCTAAAGTTGTATGTATGTGAATATGTACCTACTAAGTTTACAAACAAATTTATTGCCTGCTATGTACCGGAAAGAATAATGCAAAACAAAACTCAAATTTATGGCGAATTTCGCCTCGGATTGTAAGAACAAAAAAACCCCAGAAAACATAAAACTTACAAATTGTGTGTAAACCAGCGACCAAAAACCAGCAAATTTATATACGTTAGGGTGGTCCAAAAATGCATGTGGAAAAAGTTAAGTCGGAGTTTTTAGGCTCTCACCACTAGGATTGTTCTATACCGAAAAAATATATCTCTATTTATTATTTTGAAATCCAAAAATATTTAGATGTCGCTCAAAGCGAGGGGGGGTGTTTTTTACCCCTCGTAGAAATGGTATAGAATTCTTAAAAATCAACATTTTACGATCGGAAAACTCTGTTTCACCTGAGACTTCCAGTAATAATGCTCAATTATTTATTTAACCTATATTATAGGTCCCCAAAAACCCCCAGAAAATGCCAGAGTAAGCAATGGGGGGATAAATGAAAAATATTTAGTATTAAAAAATTGCTTAATAAACAATTGGATATTGTTATTGGAAATCTTCTGAAGAGGACCAGAGCTTACCAATGGAAAATGTTGATTTTCACGAATTCTATACCATTTATAGGAAAAATTGTTTTCCCCCATATAAAATACATGGAAAATTTGAGCTCTGTGAGCGCCTTGAGCGACCTCTAAATATTTTTTGATTTCAAAATAAAAAATAGGGGTATATTTTTTTCGATATAGAGCAATCCTAGGGGGTGAAAGCATTAAAATTCTGAATTTACTTATTTTGGACGACCCTAATGTACATACATATTCAGATATATATGGAAGTGTAAAAATAAATACGAAGCAAACTCCAAGTTTTTGTGGTTAACACTAAACCATAACGGACGATTTAAATTTCTCTTTCTACCACTTTACGCCACTGGGATTTAGAATTTTTACGACAAGCAGTAAAAGGCATACTTTCTTATATAACCACTGGCAGAAGAGAAGCAAGCAAATACACATGGTCTGAGAATGTTTTTGTTTTTGCGTAAAATTTGTTTACCAATTTTATTCAACATTTCTCAAACTAACAACCTACATTCATACGCACATATATACATACCTATGTATAAGTTGAATGCATATGTATGTAAATTTTTCAAAAGAACATCTTCTGTTTTAACAACACTTGTATATGCAGGCATATGTGCATATTAAAATATTAAGGTATGCATATGTATTTGGAAATACTCGTAAAAATACAAAAATATGATGGCTCTCATTTCAAGGTTTTTTTGTGCCGGCTAGCCCTTGCATTGTTGTTGCTCTCTTATATTTAATCCATGCGCTTGCTCCAGTACACCAATATATGAAAATATATGCATTTGGCTTGGGTGTTGTTACTGCAGCTTGACGTATTAAACGAATATTCTGCCGTCAGCTGTTCGCTTCATCGTTATGCAAACGATACACAAGCCAGCAGACGCCCACGTCACTCTCGCAACAGAAACCATAACAAAAACAATAATATTTTCTTCGCTTCAACGGCTATGCGCCTAAAAATATGCCTGATGAATGAAATTTATGCTTGAAATGTAGCTTGAGTTGAAGGCAGAGGTACGGTGCGGCAAGTTCGATAGAAGTTTTCGTAGATAAAAAAAAACACCCGTGCTGGGATTCTGGAATTCGTTTCAGTAAACAAATACACAAGTAAACAAACATTAATAAGCGAACAGCAGGTGTGCCTAAAAATATGCAATGCCTTCAGAGAAATATTTCGGTTTCTTCTGTTAAAAATTTCTTATTGCACCTCTTTCATTTATATAATTTCGCACCACTTTACATTTAAAGGCCAGCATGCAGCTCTCAGGAAAAGAAGAAGCTCCATATAAAATGACGTAAAAGAAATGGCTAAGAATGGTTTAGGAATGGTTTTCTAAATTTTTTTTTGTGAAAAAAGAGGCAACCCATGCTTGCAAAAGAAATATATGCCCGTTCCATTATGTCTTGAGGAAAGAGTGCGGCAACAGGCCGGTGAAGTATCAGATGTCAAAATTCCTTGGAAACACACACTAAACGGACATTTTTTTCATGACCATTTTTTTGAGAGCTGCATACTGGCCTTAAAACGGTTGTACCTTAAAGTAGGGCTAAATCGGTACCATCAAGATATTACTCAAATCAGTACTACCTACTCAGTATTGGAAAGGTATCGATTACTTGTGCATAGAACTACGATTTTGCATTTTTTTCAAGGTTGTTGTATTTTTCTTCACAAAAAGTCCTTTTAGGTGTAGTCGCACGGGTGGTTTAGGTAGCTTATTCAATGGTTAAGCGCTAACAGCCAATTCCGCATGAGTTTTGGTCGGGAACTGTCTGGACCGCATGCATGATGACTTAATATCGTTTAAGTCCGCTATTGACGTACCTGTTGGGAGAGTGACGAGATGGAACATCTCAGAAACTTGTACTGGGGGTGCGTTGAAACATACTTTTAAGAAAAATGAATTCGCCAGATGGCGCTAGAGTCGAGTTATTCAGAAAATTTTATCGTATATTGTATGACCAGATTTTGATGATGTAGGATTTGTATTAAATATATATAAAAAAAAAATCCCACCTTTATTTAACTAAACCACTGTGCGCTGACGTCATCGCTATTTGCCAGCACCAACACTGCCATAGTTAGCCAATGCTTTGCTAAAGCTCTTATTCCGAAACACTTGATTTACAAAACAAACAGGCTACAACAACAAAATACAAATAACTAACAACGGCAACAACAACTACCACAAGTGTTGCAAAACAATCATACAAAATTTACGAGTACAAGTAAAATAAAAAATATTTAATAATAAAACAAACAACATGGCGCCATACTTTGCCAACTTCCATGTTTTCCTGCTAGTCATAACACAGTTGTTCGCACACACCCACGCCGGCTTTTAATACCAGCCAGCTTTACAAGAAAAAACACACACACAGCCCTTACACATACTACCAGGACAAACGCTTACTACTTGCGTGCTCTACTTCTCCTCTTCAGTACACTTGACGACCGACACCAAAAGTCGTTGCATTTCACCACCAACATGTCAAGATTACTTTTGTTATTACTTTCTGTTGTACGAGTAATTTTACGAATTTTGTATTTATGTTCTCACAAATTTTTCTTTTGTTTTACTTTACAGGGTTTTATTAAAATTTACAAACAATTCTTCCCGCAAGGAGATCCCAGTAAATTTGCCTCGCTGGTGTTTCGTGTCTTCGATGAAAATGAGGTAAGTTAGTCACTGCAGTCGCCAATGACATTCAGAGCGAAGGAGAGGAGAAAGAGATAAAATAATAGATACATACATACGCAACCAAAACGGTAGTTTGTAAAAACAACAATCAGCATTGCTTTGCTGTTGTAGTCGTCCATTCTCATTGTTCTATTTGGCAGTGGCAGAAAGTATTAATTTTGCTGCAGCTTTTACGCGAATTGGCTGCTCATTTATTAATCCAATTCAATCGTAGACAACCTATTTTCATTCAATTCCTTTCACTACAATCGATTCCTAACATTTCGATGGAATATTGCATACATTCAGGATTGTGTATCTTTCCTTAAGTCAATAGCTTGAATGAAATTTTAACTTTTAAATGAATCAACAGCGAATTTGAACTATAACTTCTTGCTTTCTTTTCAACTTTTCTATTGTTCTTCTTCTCTTATTCTTAACTGCTCACGGTTTACCTACTTGTTTATTCGCTTCTGTCTTTTCTGCCCTTTTCTCTTTTTTCCGCCTCCCCCTCTTTGCTTCTCTTTATTTCAGGATGGCGCGATTGAGTTTGAGGAGTTCATTCGAGCGTTATCGATTACATCGCGCGGCAACCTGGACGAAAAGCTGCAATGTAAGTAAAAACAGGAATATATACGCCGCACACGTAGATTACTGCAAATTACTAGGTATGAATAGCTAAGCAGAGATTTGCACGATATTAAATTTGTATGCCTGTGAATATTGATATGGCATGCAGTCAGTGGGGTTGGAGAGGGAAATTTAATACATTTTTTTTTTTTCGTAGAATACGTGAGCATGAACGACTGTTTAGGGACTTTTTGAGCTATTAAATTTCATTAATTTAAACTGATAGTCAAGAGACTAGAAATTCAATTAATACTAAAAAAAAACTAGAAAGGTCCTTCAAACGAAAAATTTCAATAAATCTCGTAGGAGACTATGAGATGGTGGCTCAGCCCGGCAGGTCGATGTCCTCGTTGGGCCTAAGGCAGGCATCAGCACTACGGAAATGATACGTTGGACGGAGTGATGTAAGTGGAGAAAAACACTTTACGGCATCTGCTACAGTTGCCTTTTAATAAGTGAAAGTTCGGCGTAAAATTTATGAAGGGAACGAGAGCCCGACGAAAAAGGAAGATGATATTACTAAAACTGTTGTCCTTCCAAGACATTCATAAAAACCATGCTTGGCGGTTTTAATGCTCTTAAAGGGGCCACACTCATAGGCTTCATAGGCTGTAGCCATCGCGGAGAAAGCTATAAAAGCAGTTGAGGAGTGGCGAAGCACAATTTTAATGCTAGTATGGGAAAAGGGGGCATTTTTGGTTCCACAGTCGGTTGGTTGAGCCTCAACGATGAAACTTTCAATAAAACAACAAGGCTTAGAAACTACGGCGTAGCGCGGAGTATTGTAGCTCGTGTCCGAATCAAAATATACTACAAATCAAACGTATGGGCAATCTGAAGGCTCTACAGCAATTTGGTTGGACTAAAATGACTTTTTTCCAGGAACGGTAACTATAAGTTGTCTAAATAAGATAGTTAGGAGATACGGTGGGTGCTGAAAATATATTTAGTTCATCAGGCAGCTGATGTAAAGAAAACGTAAGGCAGCTGCGAAGAAAGTACTGGCAAGTCTCAAAACAGCTACGGTAATAGTACTCCGAGACGATGTTAAGTCATAACGCTGGAGTTCCTACATATTATGAAAACAACTTCTCAGGAGAAAAGAAACAACTCAGAAAATGCCCTGTCAGCTTTGCTGTTATCTGCAATATCGCTATGCACTGTAAACCAAATCAGCCTAATTTAAAAATACGACTACTCTGAGGCCACCGAAAGAGTGGACCGACATTGCCTCACCAGTTTTGATTGCAGCCCTTGTTTCTTCACTTCGAATAGAATTCTCCGTTAAACCGAATAAGTCGGAGTGGCACCACCAATTATCGCTCCCTTCTAAACACGTGGTGAGACTAAATATAACACCCGATCCATGGCATCGTCTTCACAATTTCTTCAAAGTCATTTGGCCTTTGCGAGGCTGAGGTCTAAATACATAATTCGGCTTGCGGAAGTTCGTGCCCCAAAGTGTTTTTCAAGTTGCTGATGTTCCAACTATGCACCTTAAACAAGGTGGCGCAAAATTAAACACCCTTCTTCTTAATCACTTCTTTCTTTAGGACTATTTGAAGTCGCAGGTTTATGCCAAAAAGCCCCATAAAAACGCAGCCCTTAAGGAGAAATTCGCCATGAAAGCGAACAGTTATCGCCGGAAATCTTGCGGAATGTCATGGACGGATATCATGGTCACATGACGGATATCATCTTTGTCACTTAACAGCAAAGGGCCAAATAAAAATTTCCGTAACTCAAAATAAACTTTTTTTTTTATTTAGTAAAAAAGTTATTGAAAAGCAAAATGGATGATTAATTTTGGGCCACCATACCTTAACCAAAAAATATGATTTTATGGGATACATTTGAAAACACAATAGGACCAATTTCGATGAGAAAAAATAATATCTAATATGTTAATTTTTAGGCATAAAATATATAGGAAACCTACTGTTGTAAGTAGATATTTATAAGCATAGATGCTCTTTTTTAAAATTATAGTATCTACTAGCTGTTCAAGAGTCTTTTAAATTACAGCAAAGTACGGAAAGTGCCTTTAATTAAATTATTAAAATATTTGTTATCACGAATAAATCCTACATGATTATGTAATCTTCCAGGGGCATTCCGGTTGTACGATGTGGATAATGATGGCTACATAACGAGGGAGGAAATGTACAACATAGTGGATGCAATATACCAGATGGTGGTAAGTAAAACAGTTTTTAACCATAAAAAACTAATGCTCTTCTAGTTTTAAATCCCCTTCTTAAATTATATTTATGTACATATGTACGCAAACACCATTGCCTACATACATATTATCTATGCACTTTTATTTTCACACTAAAATTTATCACTTTCTATACCCCCCACCTCTAATAGGGCCAACAACCACAGACGGAGGAGGAGAATACACCGCAAAAACGGGTCGATAAAATATTCGATCAAATGGATAAAAATCACGATGATCGGTTGACGCTCGACGAATTTCGTGAGGGTAGTAAAGCTGATCCACGTATAGTGCAGGCGTTAAGTTTAGGTGGTGATTAACCAAAAGAGACTTAGTTTAATTCTGTAACAGATTAAACGAGAAAGCGCAAACAAAACAAAAGAAAGAAACTTAAGAAAATAAACAATAAAAAATGAAGAAATAATCATAAAAAAAAAAACTAAATACATAGTAAGAAAAAAAGAAGCAGCAGGAAATCTAGGAGGGTGGTAAATATAATTTCTTGCAAAAAATATTTATGAATTATGAGAGATGAGTCATAATCAAAAGGAAGAAGCACACATTAATTTACACAAACACAAATGAATAGCGTAGACCTGAGTTATGTCAATGGCAGTCAGCTGGTACTTGCATATATTCAAATGTACATACACACATACTTGCATACAAAAAAAAAACAGCCATTAGTTTACTTAGCATGGAGTTAGACTATGAAAAACCACAACAACATACAAACGAAAAAGTTTCAAGTAATAAGGCAAGCGGTAGAAAAGCTTCGAAAACCCAACAAAAAAAAATGTATTTCAAGAATGCAAAAATAAACGAAATAGCAAATTATATTCAAAGCCAACGTAGGTGAAACGGGTTAAGTGTAGATTACCCAGCCAAGTTGCAACACCAAAACACTGTTGTTGTACCGCTAACGTACACACACACACACACGCATACGCAAACATAGTTTTAGTGAATTCAACGAAATAGAAATCAAAATCTGCCTGAAACTGGCAGTCTTATACACAAAAGCAGCCAACAAGATTTAGAGAAAAACTGAAATAAAAGTAAGCAACCAAAAAAGCCAACTTCTAGGCAGCAGATTTGTAGGAAGTAAAAAAAAAGTTTTCGCGGAAGTAATATTGGAATTCATAGAGGAAATTAAAATTGACTTTAACCACTGTAGCTAAAGGTCGAATACAAAGGTGCGTTTTGAACAATTGCAAAAACAAAATAAAAAAAATAAAATAAGATAAAAGGAAAAAATTAAGAGCATCAAATTTCACACTTTCTATTTGCAATATGTATATAAGCATACACAAGTATCAAGTGACAACAAAAATAAAATACATTTTTAGGATGTGCTTAAAAATAGGATGTGCTTAAATATAAAGTGCACTAAAGTCGAAACAAAATAAGTGAGCCGTTTATTTTGAAAATGGCATTAGTCATTTCGTACCTCTTGTGCTTAAACGACCGGTTACTTGTACCGATTGCAACTGAAAATCTTGCTATCTCCATAAACAAGACCCTTTACTTTTGGTTGCTGAATTTTGCCAAATAACCAACGCGTCCAGATACAAGTGACCGGTCATTTAGGCACAAGAGGTACGAAGTGATTTATGACACTTTAAAAATAAACATAAAACATTTTGAAGGCTTGAGTGCTTTACAGATAACATTGCCAGTTGCGATAAAGAAAATATTTATTAATCAAACATGCATGCCTGCGCAGAAGCTTCTGCATAGATATTGGGCCTCTAACATAAAAAGTAAGCCTAAACTTTTGGTGTGTGTAGGGCCCATAATCTGAAGCACAGCACGCAAGTTTGGCAAACATTGAAAAATATTTAAAGAAACGAAATTGTTATGAACAATGACACCAATTTATAATATAATTAATTATATTAATTCATTACTCATAAAGAAATCTATTAGAATATTTAAAAAAAAATCTTCAAAAATCAATTGCTTTGTTTTTTTTCCTTTAAATAAGCGTCCTTCAAGACGTTAAAAACTTTGCACTTACCTTGAAGCTTCAAGTTAATATCTTAAATAATCAAATAAAAATAAAATTAATATTCATGTCATGAAAATTCAACTGCAAATTCTGAATAGGTAGCGAAGTGCAATAATTTCTAAGCGCTGATAATAATAATCTTAGTCCAATCAAGCTATAAAAAATAGCAATTTTTTTAGTAGCTATGTTACGACTCGCGAATAATTTCGATTTATGCATATGAGGAGATTTTAAAACAACTCTTAAATATGTACTTAGAAATCATTCAAGTTTCCATCTTCGCTTAAGAACTAAATTCTTATAAGACCCTCAAACATTTTTTATATGACTGTTTTTTCCAAACATGGGGACTGTTTTTTCAAACATGGTTGGGTGTTTTCATAGTTTTCATAATCTTTGTGTAACCCAATTTCATGAAAAATGTTGAAAATTCTATTTCATTTAGAGCTGTTATGAATTATGAATTAGGGAACAAAAAGCCTGGTTGTGAGGGCAAGAAAATTGGTGTGCAAACTTATAACAGAATTTTATTCAATTATTCTTTATCAATAGATTAGGGACTGAATTTTAATATACAGAATTTTCATCATCACAATGGTTTGGCAAAAATATTCAAATACTGAGTTTATCTTCAAACTGTTGGAGTAATTTACTTCTTTAGTTCAAGAGTTGAAAAGAAGGATTAACTCACAGATGTCCTGTTAAAAATGTTCCCTGGATGACACTATCCAATACCTACATATGTAGAATTGCTCGTTGATTGCAAAAATCTAGTTAATTTCCCCGTTATTCAGCTAAAAAAGTGGTTTCGCTTAATCACGCATATATTACGATTCAATTGAATAATCTTAATACGAATAACAGTACATACATCACTTTTCGATAGCCTTATAGCTTCGGAGAAATTAATTAATAATTCCAGATTTTTTTTTCTATGTATAAAAAAAATTAAAAAAAACAAACCCTAACAGGAAAAAATTTAAAGAATAACAGTTTATGTGTAATTATTTCCCCTAATCTGTTACATAAAAGTCAAAATACTCATGAAGAAAATCAATATTCATACGCCATGTACACATGAGTAACAAACACTATATCTTGCTCATATTTCATACAAAAAATCCTAACTCATTTTTTTTCCACTAATTCTTGTTTTCTCTATCCATCGACTTTTTTCATTAGTAGCCTGATTTTTTTTTGTAAGGGAACAGGCTTTTATACAAAATCAAACAGTCTATCAAAAATTTGTTTTTTTTTTTATTTTTTCCCCAGTTAGAATTTGAATTCTTTTCAATTTTCATAAAAAAAAAATTTGGAATGATTAATTAATTTAACAGACACTAACGGGCCTATCGAAAGTGATGTATGTATTTATATATATACATAGGTGGCTTTCATGTTTGCTTCGTGGCGTGTGTCCCTTTTTTATCAAGGATATTTTTCAGGGCTTGACGAGCCGAAAAACTACGATAAATTATCGATATTACAGGACTGAGTCCGAACTAATAAGGCTCTCTTAGCAACCTAACTGGAACTACAAACCAGTCTCAGTAGCAATATTTTTAAATAAAAATTTAAAATAAAATATGCCATACCCTGGTGCATGGCGGAAGGTCAAGTCAGGCTTAGTTGAACATAGAAATGAGTTCAGTTCAGTTTCTTTTTTAACTTTTTTTGTTAAAAGATGTATAGGAAACATATAAATTATAAATAATTCATAACAAAACAATGTAAACTTAGTTGAAGTCATTAACAATTGGCGATTGGCCTTAGCGTCACCATTTTTAGCCCGTTAAATTGTGGCACTGTAGGAAATTCTTATAAAATTTTTCATTAAGTAGAATTATGTATTCAACACATATCTACATAAAAGCAAAGCCAAAAAGTAAGTATTTTAATATCTTTTGCAAAATTATTTTATTTTTCTATTTTTTTTTAATTCTCAAATTTTTAAGCATGATTTTTTTTCTAAGATTACCCTTGATATACTATATATGTATATTTAATATTTATACTAGCAATTTATTTGGCATTGAACATTTTTCTATGTGAACTTTACAAAATTATTTGCATGTTTCCAAATTTATAAACACTTTTTCTACGCTGAAAAAAAACACGTTAAAAATTTTTTCTCACATCTTCAACATATGTAAATTTAAGTAATGCATTTTTACTTAAATTACCTAATTACTTTTCCGAAATATTTTATAACTATGCACAAAAACGGAGCAGGGTTTTACTGACCTAAACAGCTTGATTCAGTATACTTCATAAATTCCAAATATGTACTAATTATTTGGTATGCTTATTTAGTTAGACAAGTTTACAGAAATAAATAAATTTTCCGACCTGTGGCATTTGACCATAATTTCTAAAGTAAAATTTTCCGCCGAATACGAATATGTAGTCAAGATAAGAAAAAGTAGCAATGGTTTTTAAGGCATAGCAAACTGTTTTTTAGATCCTAAACAAATGCGCTCACTTAAATAGCAGTTTTTTCAATATAATTGTCCTATCTTAAATTGTTTTTGATATAAGGGAAGCTTATTAAATCCACATGTAAGCTTCCTAAGCTAGTAGTTCGGTTGGAAAATGTTTTTGTCGTAGATGATGGGAAACTTAATAGGCTTCACTAATGTAAGAAAAAGTTTTAGATTGGGCAACTATACCAAAAAAAAACTGTTATTGAGTTGGTAGACTCTTTTCAGATCTCAAAAAAACAAACTGTGGCTATATCTCAGAAACTGTTCTACTTTTTTATGTTTTGACTTCATATACAGATTCGGCGGAAATTAAACATAAGAAAGTATGATCAAATGCCACAAGTCGGATTTTTTGTCGACAAGTGTTATCAATATTAAGCAAGAAAACCCGTTTTGCTCCAATTTATTAGGAAACACTACATTTGATAGAGAAATTATTATTTTTTCTTAGGTAATCTCTTTGAAATTTTTAACATTAATTTCTTTATTTATGTTATTGAGTGGAGCAAAAAGACATTGCGTATATTTAATATGTTCTTTGAAGTCAATTGTTTAAAAAAAGAGATGAAATGAAGCATACGTCCTCCGCCTTATTTGATTATCAGTTTCCCCGTTACTGAAAGCAGTTTGTCTTGATTGCCGAAAAACTGAACAAGATAAAGACGTACCGCCAAGTGAGAATAATGTTTGCTTAATTTGAATTGCAGTGAACTTAAATGCACACTTACACATACATAAGAGCATACACACATTCCCTATATAGTTAGCCTTTTCAAACCTTCTACTCAGTTTTATGTCCACTTTCTATGTTCCCGATTTTCTTATACTTCAACTATCTTTTTCAGTGTATCACCAATCTAAAATAATTTCTGTTTTATATGTGGTTCAGCTTTGGTTTTAGAAAACAAATAAAATGCAGTTGTATGAATAAACAAAAAAAGGTAAAAAAATTAATTTAAAAGTTGTTGCATAACGCAACTTGTTGGTAAAAGAAGTTGCTTAAGCAGCAATTTATATATGAATGTATATTTAAACTCAAGCAAATCAAATGTACTTAAATAAGTCAAATATTTTTTTGTTAAATTGAAATAAATAAATAATTTAAATATATTTCAACAAAAATACAGCAAAGTTTTTTTTTTTTATTTTAATAGAAAAGTTAGATATAAAACCTTTTATTAGAACTATAACACTAGTTTAGACGAAAAATAATTAACCGCTATAAGCTGACTTTGGGTCGATGAACACGAAAATAATACACATTTTTTCTCAAAGAAGCATTTTCGAGACTTTTTCGAAAAACGCGTTTTATGGTACTTTTCGCAATAATTCGTCAGTGTCTAATAAAAATCATGCAATCGACCTAACCGACTTGCGAAACTTGAAATTTTCAATAATTTTTGAAAATTACACATTTTCAATTGAAGATTTTTTTGGAGTATTTTAAAATTGTATGTAAAAGATTAATTATTAAAATAAATTTTTAACCTAAAATCATCAAAATCGGATGAGAAATGTAGATGTTATGGAGCACTTAGTAAAAATTTTAACTTTGTATTTTTCACACAATCACGCGCTTGGTCGAAAATAAGCTTTTCTTCTAGAATTTGCACCCAGAATTTTTTACTCAGTGCTCCAGGACATCTTAGTTTCTCATTAAATTTTCATGACCCTAGTCTCTAAATTTACTGTAGTGATTTATCTTTACACCAAATTTTTAAGATAATAAAAAACAAAAAACAAAAACAACAACAATCAAAAAT